GTGGATGCCACTCCTCCTTCCAATCTTATTAATAACTTAATTATGTTTGTTTAATATGATGTTGGATCTTAAATTTTTAAGTATATATAGTATATTCTTATGAAAACAGGCCTGTACTTCAGATACATCTTAGAAAATAGCTTAAAAATGTCTGTAGATAATACTATAAAGAATCCACACAATAATTCATTAAGCATTTATTAAACGCCTACTGTGCACTCAGCATTGTACTAGGCACTATAGAGCAGAGATACAAATGTAAGCGCTATTATTCCTGCTCTCAAGGAGCTTACAATTTAATATCAGAAATAAATACAAATGTAGAACTACAGAGTATTAGAAAATAATTACAAAGAATGTGTTAGTAAGTGCATTGACCACAGTACAAATTTAAAAGGTAAGTGCTAAGGCAGCACAAAATACGGAGTTCATTAAGTCAGTCTGGGAGAGTTCACTCAGGAGATAAAAAGAAGCTAAGCTTTGAAGGCAGCCTTAAACATGAAATGGGACCAAAGGACAATTTAAGCGAAAAGGAAAGCAAGAGAAAGGCACAGAGGCAAGGGATAATAAGACAAAAGTAGAAGGCTATAGGATGTTAGAATAAGATGAGTCAAAGTGAGTATGCTAGAGTGTTGAGACAGACTAAGCTTACAGGCAAGGAAGTAAAGAATATGGAATGCCATTGTGCTGACAGGAAATAGCTAGCGGGCATTTCTTGAGAAAAATAAGATCCTGGAAATGGAGTTTGAAAAGGATCATCTTGGAAAAGTATGTTAGATGGGCATCCTGAGAGTGAGGAAAGTGGAAAGAATGAATTAAAGTAACTTGGTTCTTAGTTGATGTGGCTATGTGTGGAGGGTAACAAGGTAATGGGATAAATGTAAAATCCAGCCTCAAAGAAAAAGACTAACAACTAAATCAACTTAGCAAAATTTTAGACATGGAGATTAGAAGGCACAAAAAAAAGTCCAATATTGGAATAATAAATTCTGTTCAGGGTAAAGAAGTTAAGAAATGATGTTTATTTAAAAGGAATAAGGGTTTGGAGAACAGTGATGAGTTCATTTTTCAAATACCATGTTACACAGTTTCAACAAATCTATAAGGCGGAAAACATTGTTATAAAAATACAGTAGATAAATGGAATCAATCAAGTTAGATAAATAAAAGTATGTGTATAAATAATAGTGAATAAAATTATTCTCAACTGGGAAGAGGAGAAAGGGCCAATTTAAAAAAATGCTAGAAATGGGAGAAAAAAGGATCCCAAAGGGATTCAACAACTGAAAGGAGGATTCCTGAGATACAGAGGAAATTGTATAGTATTTCAAATTTATGGCTCATGGTGGATAACATCTAAAAAAAGGGTTATTTATCCACAGATAACTCCAAGGATATTTCAGTGGAGTGTTGATTTTTCCAGTGGGGGAAAAAAAAATTAAAAACTGATTAATATAGGGTTGGAAAAACAGAAATGAGAGGGAAGAAATAAAACAGTAGGCAGCAACAGGGAACAATATTGAAAGTTCTTCATAATTTATGCTGTAGATAAGCTTACTATTGTTAGAATTATTTATCTGTGTACATTGGTGCATGGATATAGCTACCCATAATTCTACTTTTTCTCAGGCAGTTTAGAGAAAAATATATTTGAATCTATAACGTTATTGCTTTATCATCCTAGTTAGTCTTTTAAATGTTTTCCTTGCACAATTTAGTTTTCTAGAACTAACAAAAGATGAAAAGTATCAACATTTAAAGAAGATATAATTACAATCCCAAATTGCATTTTAAACAAATTTTCTAGTTATCTTAATGGATTTGCACTGTGTTGTACACTGTTTTCCATAGTATTACTTATGACCAGGATTGTATTTTAAAACAGCTGGTCAGTGCTAAAGTGTTCATTGGCAACAGTACAACACAGTGGTCAAGAGCACAGGCTTGAGTCTGGATTTGAATTCCTCTGATCTATCACTTACCAGCTATGCGAGCAACTCAACTTTCTAGGCCTCGATTTTCTAATCTCCAAAAAGAAAATAATAATAATATTTACTGAATGTATAAGAAATGTTTAATATAGGGGATGGCACATAGAAAGTGTTCAATAAATGTCAATTTTTTTTGAGCTTCAGAACCAAGAGCAAAGCTGTCTGCTCCACATGGGAATTTACTATCACATTCTAGCACTGTCACCTTGTTTCATGAAGAAAAACCTTTGAAACCTAAAACATCTGTCCTAGGACTGTTAGATGGCAATTAGAGGGACAGAAGAATCATCTTATCATACTATAAAAAAAGAAGATGAGGATGAGAAAAAAGTACTGGTTAATAGTTGAACAGCAAGGAGACCAAAAAAAAAAAAAAAGCATGCATGGTTAGGTAAAATAAAGTCTGAGTCACTTTAGTTAGTGTATGGTATTTAGTTAGTTCCAACTCATAACAACCTTATTATGTATAACTGAATGAAAAGGAGTTCAAAGTAAGGTCTCATCAATGATATTTTAATGCTAAGTGTGAGAACCAGGGACCGTAAACAAACTCTTATCTAATCCCCTGAAATAAATCACAATCTTGCTCTACTGTTTTATACCATTTGTCTATTTCTATATATGTTTTCAATTAGCCTTGACAATTCAAATCTTTTCTCATATTCACCTTAGGATAATACTAATCTTTTGTCATACTATAGATTTTAATTTCTCTTAGTTTCTGCCAGAATCTTAACATTTTTAAACTAAGTAATTGGGCTACATGTTATTCTGGGTACTGAGCTCCAAAGGGACATAAAGTCAGTATATCTATAATAATTTCGGTGTTATTCTGCTAAAAACTTTTATTAGAATTGAAAACAACAGTTCCAGTGAAGTATGCATGTGCATGTGCTTATCTGTATTCTGACAAATCCTTCCTGTGAAATATATGTACATAAGGTAGCATAAGGCCAATGAAGGAATTTTTCATTTTTCTTTTCAAAGAGAGAGTGAACTGGAGTGGAGGGGTGGACAGAGAGAAAAGTGCAACAATGTATGAATGGAAATCCAAAATCTCTGTAAATGTTCATTATAATAAATAAAAAAAAATAAATTGGAAAAAAAAAGTAGCATAAGCCCCAGACAGAAGTTACTGTACAGAAGGAAAGGTACAGATGAAGCAGGACAGTATAGGCTTAAAGACAACCAGATTCACTCATTTCTTAAAATTTCAAGTACAAGGGAACTAGATATGATTATTTATAGGTTTAGAAAATGAGCAAAGGATAAGAAAGTAACAAGATCAAATATTTTGAAAAAGTTAACCAACTCCTACCTGGAAACCAATGGTTTAATTAAATAAGGGTAAATAACTTTGAAGTTCATCTTAAAGGCCAAGAGTCAGATGAAAAGAATGTTATAGGGAAGAAAGTCAGGATCAAATTGTAGACTTCTATAAAAAATTTACTTTTAAGTAGAATTTTATGACTGCTTTTTAAAAACACCAATTGTAAACTAGCATGATTAGTAAGCGTTTGTCATTTATAGTCACAGTGTGAAATTTTGTGATTTGGAATTTTCTTCAGAATCTGTACGATAATCTTTTTTAACATCCTTAATAGAATCAATTCCAATTTGAGGATTCCGTTTTGAAAGAGTTAAAAGATATTCAGTTACTAGTGAATTAGTTGATTTCTCTCTTAGTGCCACTATACAATTTTTAAAGGACAATCCATGTTTAGATGCCCAATTATGTTGTGTTACTTTAAACCATCTCATTTCTTTAGATACTATCCTTTGGTACACTAGAAGCCTCAAGAATGAAATAGTGCCTGGTGATGATGAGATTTCTCACTGTATTTCTGCAAGTAAAATACAGACATGGATTATATATGGCATTCATCAAAATTATGTAGAATGAATTGTGAGGTGAAGTGTTTGAAAGATTATCTCTGTGTGGATAATAATGTGATAAAGGTAATGGCAAGCAACAGAACCAAGAACAATGAAGGAGGTGCTCTTTATGGAAGTGAGTTCACAGTAATGACAAGCGTGTCACAAAATCCAGTTAGGTGGTTTTTGCAGGTGGTTAAGAATCTGAGAGAGACTGTTGTAATGGGATATTTTTTGGCATGGATTTTAAAGTCTAAACACTTGTCTCCTTTTCCCCCCATGTGATGCCATAAACAGGATAGTGCAAGTATCTTATTTGTATGCTGGTTGGTGGTGGGAAGGTGAAAAGGAAAGTCAGAGGTCACCAGAAGTATAACTACTCAAGCCCAAGAGCAGCTGAGCCTAATTTTTCACTCACCTCTTCGTGGCATCACTCTCACAACCATCACTAATGTATCTGCCTCCTTTGCTGGTATAGGTACTGTGACTAGGAGTTGGGAAGAATATGAATGCTCAAGGACTCAAAGGAGTCAATGAAGGCGATAAATGAAGAAAAAAAGCTGCAGTGCTGTTAAAACATAGCATTCTGAGTTTGCATGGGAATGTGGACCTCCACCAACTATAAGAAATAAAATACACACTTAAGCATAAATAAATGTCTGTAAAAATGTCCCTAAAAACAAAACCTAAAACACGTCCCTAACACTAAGATCTTAGAAAGCTAAATACAAATATGTCTCATTCAAAGGCTACTTCGAAGTCTTAGAGTAGCTTCTTAGATCAGGTTAAGAGCACAATGGCACCGTTAGGAAAATCAACAGAAGAGTATTCCAAAGGATGGGAAGCAGCAGAGAAACTAGGAAGAGCAGCCTTCTCCAAACCTAAAGCTACTCACTAAAAGACAAAGTTAAGTGCTTTGAGCCATGGCAAGTAAGCAATGGTATTTTAAGTTTCTAAAGAATGTATCAGGCCTTTAGGAACTTCACTCAATCAGATACTTCTCAACACAGCACTGGGCTTAAACTACTGAAGAGCAATTCTAATTTTGTCACCAGTATCAATTCTGATATTAAATAAAAGTATAATGGGACACATTTCTGCCACCTTACTATTTACAGAAACACCTCTCCCATCGGTGCCTCTAGTGCCAAATAATGTTCACATTATCACTAAAGTTTTTACTAAACTACTATGGACTCAGATTTTTCTCCACTGTGAATCCTCTGATGTCGAATGAGACTTGACCTTTGAATAAAGGCTTTCCCACATTCATTACATTGATAAGGTTTCTCTCCTGTGTGGATTCTCAGATGCTGAATGAGGCCAGTGTTCCCATTGAAAGCTTTCCCACATTCTTTACATTTATAGGGTCTTTCTCCAGTGTGGATTCTCTGATGTTCAATAAGGCCCGACTTCTGACTGAAGGCCCTCCCACACTCATTGCACTTGTAGGGTTTCTCCCCAGTGTGGCTTCTCTGATGGCCAATAAGATGTGAGCTCCGTCTGAAGGTTTTTCCACACTCATCACACTCATAGGGCTTCTCCCCAGTGTGAATCCTCTGATGTCCAATGAGGTGTGAGCTATGACTGAAAGCTTTCCCACACTCATTACATTCATATGGTCTTTCCCCACTGTGGATTCTCTGGTGCAGAATAAGGCCTGCACTCTGGCTGAAAGCCTTCCCACATTGATTGCACTGATATGGCTTCTCCCCAGTATGGATTCTCTGGTGCAGGATCAGGCCTGTGTTCTGACTGAAGGCTTTGCCACACTCTTTACAGTGATAGCGTTTTACTTTGTTGTGGATATCTTGATGGGAAAGGAGGGCTGACCTGTAACTGAAGGCTTTACCACACACATTACACTGATAAGGTTTCTCCCCAGTGTGGATCCTCCAGTGTCGAACAAGGCCTGAGCTCTGAGCAAAGCTCTTCCCACACTCATCACATTTATGCCGTCTCTCTTGTGTGGAGTTTCCTCGCTGCTTTTCTAATCTGCCCGGAAAACCTTGGGCTTCTCCATGCTCAAGACCCCCAATAGCATCCCCGTTGCATTTGGTAGCTGTCTCTCCAGGTGGCTGGATCCCAGCAGATATTACCTGTTTTGAAGCTATTTCCCTATTCTCATTCCTGGTCTCACCACCTGAAAGAAAAATGTAATGAATAAATACATAAGCCAATGCTCTCTATGCTAATGGAAAGAAATTTAAGATAGAAGCAAATCACAATCCTAATGCAAAGGTGTGTGGTTAGAATTCACCAGCTGCTCTGCAGGATAAAGAAGGGCAATCAACTCCTGCATAATTTACGGTCTCTGAAAACCTGCTGAAGGGTCGGCTATGGTTTGGTTCTGACTCAGTAGTATACAAAACCAAAAAAGATTTCATAAGCAAATGCCTCCAACTCACCAGAAGAAATGAAGCACAACAAGGCCTAAGGGCGGGGGGTATATAAATGCAAGGATCATATGGAAACTGCAAGTGGAATAAAAGTGTGAACTCATAACACCTGAAATGTCAATTTCCGACTGACAGACCACAAACCAGTTACAGGCTATAAGGTTAAGCCTCAGCCTGAAGAAACAAAACCCTTTAATTTTAGACCTAAGAAATATTCAAGATCATACCCCAGTGTTGGATCTTAAGTTTAAACTCAATCAAGTCTTTAAAAAAGCACATGGCTATGATATATACAAAAATACTAAACATACAAATAACCTTGATAATAACTGTCAGCCTTACCCAGGGAGAATGTGTTTCTGTAATTCTCTGGCTTATCTCTACACAGATCCTTCTGTGATGGATCAAGAAGCCACTCCTCTCGGATGAGGGACACAGCCATGTCTTCAATCTTCTCCAAAGTCTGAAACAAAGTAAAGTCTCATTTGAGGACTAGGACTATCCATAGATTCAGACTGTCACAGATATCTACTAATATTAGGAAAGGATTCAAGGAGAAACATGATTTGATGAATTTAATGATTTAACCTAAAGATTAAGCATCAAAATTTTTCCCAACAGGGAGAAAAGAAAACCTACTGACTGCAAAGAAACATCTGGCAACAACATCTCAGAAAAGGGTTTCATATCAAAAGTTTACAAACTACTACAAGGTTCCCAGTGATAAGCTAATCACAAAATGGACAAAAAAATGTTTCACAAAGAAAGATATTCAGACGACCAACAGACACATCATGAGATGTTCAAAATCACTGGCAATCAGAGAGAGAAATGTGAATCAAAATCACAGTGAGATATTATCTCACTCCAGAAGGAGTGGCAGAGTTTCACAGTATAGCAAGCATTAAATGTTGGAGAGGATGTGGAGAGATTGGAACTTTCATATGCTGCTGGTAGAATGGTAAAATGGAACAACCACTCTGGAAAGCAGTTTGGTATTTCCTCAAAAAGATGGACACAGAATGCCATATGACCATATTCCATGCCATGCCATATTCCATTGCTAGGAATATACACCAAGGAAAATAGAACTGAGATAAAAATGGAGATTTACACAATTATGTTCATAGCAATGTTACGCACAACAGCAAGAATATGGAAAACAGTCCATCAACAAATAAAGAGATTGAGAAATTGTGGTACATTTACTTGATAGAATACCATGCAACACTCAGGAGCAATAATTTCGTAAAATACTATATAACATGGGAGAGGCTAGAGAGAGTCTTATGCTGAGTGAACTCAGTCTCAAAGAACAAATACTGCATGAGACCATTATTGTAATACCATGCAACACTCAGGAGCAATAATTTCGTAAAATACTATATAACAAGGGAGAGGCTAGAGAGAGTCTTATGCTGAGTGAACTCAGCCTCAAAGAACAAATACTGCATAAGATCATTATTGTAAAAATTGAAGGATAACTACTAAGATGTGGATAAAAGTCCAAAGGGACTGTGAAACACAATGTACATGAATGAAACACAATGTATATGAATTTTGCGTGCAAATCAATATAAAAACAAAACAAAAAAACCATACATGTCAAGATAGATGAAAGAAGAAATGTATAGTGTAAAGAAATAACTACTTGATGGTTCTACCTTTTCCATCGTGAGTGACAGGATCATATCCATACGCTTACAAGGAAGTCCAGTAAATACCACTATCATTCAGATATATGCACCAACAACCAGAGCCAAAGAAGAAGAAATAGATGATTTCTACCAACTTTTA